TATTTAGTGGTGGTGGTAGTAGTGTCAGTTGTAATAACAGTAGAGAGCCAGTTTGGCACAGTGATTAAGTGCGTGGACTCTAATCTGGGAGAACCAGGTTTGATTCCCCACTCTTCCACTTGCACCTGCTGGATGACTCTGGGCAAGACATTGTTCTGACAAGAGCTGTCCTTGAAAGGACAGTTCTTGAAAGAACCCTCTCAGCCCCACCTACCTCACAGGGTGTCTGTTGTGAGGAGGGGAAGGGAAAGGAGTTTGTAAGCTGCTGAGAGATACCTCTGGGTAGTGAAGGCGGGGTATAAATCCAATCTCTTCTTCTCTTCTAGAGTGGTAGTAGCAATAGAAGTGTGGTAGTAGTAGCATCACAGTAATTGTAGTGTGGCTATAGAAGTAGGAGTAGGAGAATGGTAGGGTAGTAACAGAAGTGGTAACAGAAGTAGCAGAGTGGTGGTAGTAGTGGTGTGGTAAATAGTAGTATTTGTAGTATTTGGAATGCTCAAGACAAAGTACTTTCCAGTCCCACTGTTTTGAATGGGCTCAGAGAATGATTTGGGAGCATCTGATGCTGCAGTATTTTTGAAACTAAAAAGATATGGACCGGGTCAATGTCTTGATGGGTGAGTACTAACATCTCCACAATAGCACTCTGAGCTTTCTTTATAAAAAAGGAAGATACCAGCATAATTATAATAAATAATGGGAAAGATTTAAGCTCCTGACACAGCATTATTATACCAAGGGGAAATTCCTTCCAGAGCTCAGGTATGATGCCAAATTCCATTGACTACAAGCGGAAAACCCCATCCACAGATTGGATTTCAGAAGCCTTCCCAAGCAAGGAATTCAATCCAAGTGGGGGAGAAAAAACCCAGCACAAAATATGATCCATTATACAATGCAGATGGATTCCTAACCAATGTAAACATTCAGAAGGAAAATACACATACAGAACCTCCTTCACAGAAGATGCCTCAACAGTGTGTAGGGGAAAAAGAAAAGCGACAGCTATGGCTTAGCGGATCTTCATTTGGAAACTAAAAATAAAAGTAACTTTATATTGCAGCTTTGATCTGTCATGTGTAAAATCCATCACCTTTCATAAGACGGCTGTTCATTCCTCACAGGGTTTTGATTGATAGTGCTGGAACCTTAGATCAAGCAGCAGAACAGAGAGAGGCTGGTTCATAAAATGTATTCTCCATGTCTTTGGGTTTTATATCAGACTTCCTATAGAGAGCTTTGGTCCCATTAAATGCACGGTATACCACTGAGCTCAGAAACACCACCACCCCTCACCCAAGCCAGCATATAACTATACACCAGGACTGACGTGCCCCGGTTACAAAGTGCTGATCACCACATCCAAAATACTGTACAAAAAAGGAACCCTGACACATTTAAGGATGCGCAAATGGTCCCAGTTTCCTTTCCTTTGCAGACTTTGCAGACTATTTTCACCAGTTGTTTTACTCTCCACATTTTACAATTGCTTTTACAGATTTCTTTGAATTGTGTACACACATTCTGCAGATTGTATTTCCAATGTATACATAAAGTAGCCCTGTTCACAAATTACACTGAACACATGTACAATCCATATACAATGTACACTTGATTTTTCTTGACAACTGCTTTGAGTAATCCTCATGTTACATTCAAATGAATGTGTGATTGAAAGCTCACATTTATCCAGGTACTGGTCCCCATCTCAATTTGTAAAGTAGATGCACGTTGGCTCAAACAGATGTACATGTGTTCACTGTAACATCTGAACAAGGCTAATGTGAATATTTTATATGGATTATGTATAGCAAATAATGGTGATTTACTGATGCTCAAATAAATAATAGAATCATAGAATGTTAGAGTTGGAAGGGGCCTTGCAGGTCATCTAGTCCAACCCCCTGCACTCTGCAGGAGTATAGCCAAAAGATAGCCCTACAACATACAAATGTTGAAAAAGACATCGTACTGGAAGAATTCAGGACAAAGAAACAGAACAGGCTGTGAAAATGTGCAAAAACCCCCCTCTTGGTTTGATTTGCACATAGGAGAAGTGGAATCTAAGAGGGGATTTTCTGGTCAAAACCACCAGGATGAGAAATTTGAAATCATGACTAATGCACTTAAAGGAATAAATGCATGTTTAAAATTATACTGTTGGTAACTTAACTCTATTGCAGTGATGTACATCGATATAATGTTGGCACAACTTTGGTACTCCTAAACAATAACTTCCTGTGCTCTCTCGACAGGTTGACATCATCCCTATGAAGGCAGACAGTGACAAGTGTCACATGATTCTGTGCTGGCTGAACACTCCTGAACATTCCCTCCCCCCTAAAAAAACCAACACCAGAAAAATCAGTGCTGTTTTGCAAAAACAAAACGACAGGAGCTGTTTCGTTGCACTCCTATCAAAAGGCATTAATGAAGATGGCCTGCGCCTTGTTGCCTGTACCCAGAGTCCCTAAACATTCTATTGCCAGAAGCAAGAAATGATTGACAGGGTAAGTCTGGGCTTCTGTTTTCCCCTGCTGACAAGCTGGAGCATTCTCAAATACAATGTGGTTTAAGTTTCTCTTGCTAAATAGAATCTAATAGACAACTGTGAGAGAGGGAAGAAGAATGCTGCCCTGCAGGCAGTCCCAGCAGGCCAAAAAATGCCTCCACAGCCTCTGAAGCAGGGAGGAGGAGGTATCACTCCACTCTGTTCCCCCTGCCAAAGGATTTTTGACGCAGCCTCTTGCTTCAGGGTTCTGTTCCTTCTTAGTTAAGCCTCTTCTCTTACTTATTGTTGTCTTGCACTCACTTTTTGCCTTTGTAATGTAACCCATGCTGGGTTGCAAGATGTGCCACCAGCCCTGTGGCCATCCAGCTGCCCCTTGGCATGTGGCTTCCTTATGCCCACTAGGTGATAGTGGCCAGTCTCCAAGCTGTCTCCCAACTGCTGCTCCAAGTGGCTGCTGCATTCAGCCTAACTTGTGCTTTGGCCTTCTTGTGAATGGAGAAATAGCCATTTACTTGGTACAATCCAAATAGTAATCTTAAAATATCAGTCACTAAATAAGTTTCTCACACATGCCTCTTTTTCATTATGCTTATGTTGGTATATATTTGTGGATGTGCATATACGCTCTATATCCAGAATGGCCAGGTTTGCTTCCTGTTCTCCTAATTTAAGGGATCTCAGAGAAGACAATACAAAGCTAGATGGACTCATTGTTGGAGTCACTGCAAGAGCTCAACTATACGTTATATGTGACCCAAGGTGGTTTCTAATCAAAAGTGTGGTGGGGAGGGGCTTCCGGTGGAGATGTAATGGCAGGCTAACATCTTCATGGGGAGTGAAGACACAACACAGCTAATTACCGACTAGGAGGGCTCTCTGGTCAGCAAATTCTCCCTAGATTAAAGGAAGATCAAAGAAATAAACCATGCTTACCTCTTTAGGTTGCTCTTTGGGTGTTTTCTACTGAGTGGTGGCTTTACAGACAACTCCCAACTTAGAGCAATCTGAGGTCTTAGAATTTACAGTCTTGCTCCCAGCTGTGTTTGGAATCCTGATAAGGACTAAAGCCTGACCTCCTCCGCTTCTTAGGATTTATGGACATAATAATCTACAGCCAAAGAGATATTTTCTTGAAGACAAAAGAGACAACCCCGGCTAAGGTAACCTCTCTCATGGGATTTTAAAGAACTTTCTGAAACAATAACTTTTGCAAAATATAATAATTAAGAAATCAGGAAAGCTAGAAAGCTAAATGGGTGAGGGATTAATTCCATCACTAATTTTTAATCCTTAATTTTATTTTCTATGAAAGTGCGCATGTGTGAAAGGTTTTTTTTGGCTGCAAAGACAAATCTGCCCTGAGACTGTTCTTATATTTACTTTAGAAGATTACCTGTTATTGGATAATTATACGTAATAGAAGGTAAGAGACATTCTGAGATGATTTGACCTTGGTTCCCATGGTGAAAAGGATAACTGCTGATGGCTAAAAGTAAAAGTAACTGATTTGAAAACATTCTGGATTATCTGTTTTGGTTTTAAAAAACATTGGTTGCCATGGTGAAAGGATACAAATTCTTGACAGCTAAAAGTGAAAGTATTTCATTTTAAAACATTCTCTCTCTATTTCTATTCCTTTTGCATTTTGGATTTTATTCTATATATCAGAAAGAATCCTGACAGGAAAGGTTCATCAGACCAACCTGTCACATCAGATATGATGCAGAAATTACTCAAACAAATGGGACGCAGGATAGAGAGTAAAACAGAGAATCCTGAAAACAAGATAGCGGCTTTTGGGAGAAGAATGAATGAGAGTCTTAGGAAATCTAAACAAGAAATGAAAGATGATGTGAAAGAACTTCAAGGAATAATAGGGCATATTACAGAAGAAGTTAGGCAAATCAATGATAAAGTGGTTGCTGTAGAAAATAAAACAGAAGAGATTGACAAAGAACTTCTTTGGGAAGCTCTGGTCAATTTATCTTCCCAAAAATGAGTGTAACTTCATTTTCCCAGCAGTTAAGAGCTTAAGCCTGCCTGTGCTTCTGAGCTGAAGGAAACTGGAAACCAATAAAACCCTCTCCCATTTGCCAACTGATTGGAAGGAGGAAAGTCCAGAGCAGAGATTCGTACAGAGAAACAACAGGTAGCCTACTCTGTATTTCAACCATACACAATGCAGAAGGAGTGGAATTACTTGCATCCAAGAGAGGTTAATTGGACATAGGCAACAAATCATGCAGTGACATGGTTGGCAGCCTCATTTGAAAGATATACTTTGGCCCATAAGACTATTGAATTTCTTTCTCCCAGTACATATTTTCAGAAGTATAGTGCTACAACATGAAGACACAGATCTTATAATATTCAAAAAGTTGCAGACTGGAAAAAAGACTACTTACGATTTCTGTGGCACTGATTTGGTTGCAACTTTGCCAGCTGGATCACTCCATTCTACAAAGAAAAGAACCACCTTGAAATAGTTGCCACTGGATCCTGCCGTTAAGTGCTACTCTGTCTAATTGTAAGTGATGTTATGATGTGCCTCAAAACAGAACATGACACGGTATGCAAAATAATTTTAAAAACCCAAGCAAATCACAGCTCTAATCTACTTCAGCAGCATGGAAATTAATTTTTCAACCCTTATCTTAATGACATTGTATTGGATGGAGGGGTATCTGATGGTTTAGACTACGGACAATGAAGACCTACTTTGTACATTATATCCTGAGGTCAGATGCTGTGAATCCTGCAAGGAAAACAAACAAAATGTCAACACAAGTTAGGAGCTTAAGTAGAAAGATCCATATTTACTCATTAGACTAACAGTACAAGGGCTACATCAACAAAGACAGTTAATTCATAGAAGCCTGTACCCTCCCACCATCAGAACATGTATTCATTTGGACAAAAAAGACAGCTCTTGACTTTACATCAAGGTACAGTTCACATGAGATGGGGCCATGGAAAAAGGCACTTTGCCAAGCAAATGTTCCAACACAGATCTCATCTTGTATAAATGTGCTTTCCACATGCACCAGTTCCTATACTACCATGGTTGGCACATGTCAAATCAGACTTCCTGTGTGCCAATGTGGTATAGTGGTTGGACTGGTGGTGGAGAATACTGTCAAGCTGCAGCTGACTTATGGCAACTACACAGGGTTTTCAAGGCAGGAGCTGAACAGGTGGTTTGCCATTGCCTGTCTCTGCATAGCAACCCTGGGCTTCTTTGGTGGTCTCCCATCCAAGCACTTACCAGGGCTGACCCTGCTTAGCTTCCAAGACGATCTGGTGAGATCAGGCTAGCCAAGCTATCCAGGTCAGAGCGGAGTATTGCACCAAAGCCTGGGAAATCCAAGTTCAGATTCCTACTCTCCCATGGAAGCTCATTGGGAGACCCTGGACCAGGCCCTCTCTCTCAGCCTCACCTAGTTCACAGGGTAGTGGTGGCAATAAACTGGAGGAGTCGAGAGAATCATGTATGCTGCTCTAACATCCTTGGAGGAAGGGTGGCATAAAAATGTACTCAAGAAAAAATCTTGCGCTTCCTCCAAAATACGCACAGTATTCACATTTATCCCTGTTTCTGTTTTATCCTCATGAACCCTCTAGCCCTGTTCACAAGTGATAGCAAACATAGTTTGTGTATGGTGTATGCTTGATTGTTCTCATGTTACAGTCAATGCACATACACCTGAATGTGTGATTTTAACCACACATTTATCCAGGTACTGGTCCCCAGTTTCATTTGTACAGTGAAAGCAGGTTGGCTCTTTCTTACAAGCAGATGTACACATGTGCATGCAGGACGTGTGTGTGTGTGCATTGTAACATGTAAACAGGGCCCTTGTGTAGTAAGTTAGGCAGAGAGAGAGAGAGAGAGAGGGAGAGAGAGAGGATCTGACTGGCGTGAGCTATTAACCACTGCACCACATTGATTCTCATGGGCCAGCACATATGCTAAGGACATTTAAATGAGATGGGAACCAGAAGGAATGCTTAGATGTGTATATGCTTTACTGGAGGCACATTGGGAGCAGGGCAGTCTTATCTCCATTGAGTAAGATGAATGTGTGTTGGAACACAAGCTTCAGGCTTGTGAATAACTCACCCACCACACACAGAGCTTTTAGTGTGAGCTGTGCTAAAATGCACCAATACCTACTTATTTGATTATGAGGGAGTTAAATGATTCTTTTTAAAGCAAAACCAAACAATCCACTCCTATGGCTCAGTGCTGTTTTATAAAAAGTGTCAGAACTATAGGATGCTGAAATCATTAAGACCTCTGTTTCCTCCTCCCAGGGCATGATTAGCTCCTAATATTTTGCCATACTGCTAGTCAATCCCTTGCTAAGCAAATCATGCCGTAACAGTAAACATGGCACTTTATATCTGAGTGTCAAAGGGAAAAATAAATTGCAGAAATGACCGCTCTCCTTTTCTACTGCATTATTACACTTCTGGTGGGAATATTTAAAGAGATCTATAACAATGCCTGTCTTGTGCCTACATTTCCAAAAGCCATGCTCCAAAGCAGTTGTTACTGCTTCTAAAACTGTTTTGTAAAGAAAAACACATAACACAATCTGGTCCAAGCAAAGCTGTTGGAAATCCTGTTCCTTTCCCAAGAAGAGAGCCATGCATGTGATAAATTTTTCTCTTTAATATATCAATCTGAAGGGCTTCTTGGTGCCCCAACTCAGAAAGGAAGGCACAGAGAGTCATCCTATGCAGGTCTACTTAGCTGTATTCAATGGGGATTATTCCCAAGAAAGCAGCCTTAGGATGGCACTGACAGAGACCTGTCTGGGCAATCTTACCCTGGCTCCAAGTAGTTACACAGCCAGTCTTCACTTGTCTTTGCCTGCACACCAAACTGTACTGAGAGATGGTACCCATCACACTTGTTGGCTTGAGGGCTTGGGATCTGATGTCTAACACCAAGAATGTTCCCTCCCCCAGACTGATCAGACCATAATGTCTTTTTCATGTGACCTTTCCCCAGCCTAAGATCCAGCTGCTTGTTGATCTAATTAAATTAGTAATTTATTTAATTTATACCCCGCCCTACCCCAACACCTAGGGTTAGGGTGGCTTACAACATAAAACCATGAAACAATAAACCAATAGATGGCAGCAACAGATAATGACAAAGACCCTTGCCCCATGTTAGGCAAGAATAGTCACCCCAAGAAACTCCAGTGCCCAAGTAGTATCCAGAACAGTAAGAACACTGGGAAAGGGGCCATGAAGGCCAGAATGATTGAACTTCTGCCACCTCAACCAAAGGCCTAGTGCAGTGGTGGCAAATCTATGGCATGGGTGCCAGAGGTGGCACCCAGAGCCCTCTCTGTGGGCACGTGTGCCATCGCCCCAGCCAGGCCCAGACCATCATTAAATTGTCGAATTCTATGCCAAATAATTTTAAGTAAATGAAAGCATTTGGGATTGCTTTCCTTACTTTGTTTGGATCATCTTAAATTAATGTATGAGTTGTTTTTTCTAAAGTAAAACCTCAGTATTCAGGTTAAATTGCTGTGTTGGCACTTTGTGATAAATAAGTGGGTTTTGGGTCACAGTTTGGGCACTCAGTCTCTAAAAGGTTCGCCATCACTGGCCTAGTGGAACAGCTCCATTTTACAGGCCCTGCAGAACTGTGGTATGGCCCTGGTCTCAGATGGGAGCATGTTTTACCCGGCCAGGGCAAGGCATGAAAAAGCCCTCGCCCTGGTCAAGGCTAAGTGGACATCCCTTAGGCTGGGGACCACCAGGAGGTGATACTCAGAAGAGTGTAAAACTCTCTGGGGCTCATATGAGGAGAGGCGGTCCCACAGGTATGATGGTCCAGGCTGCATAGGGCTTTAAGGGTCAAAACCATGACCTTGAACCGGATCTGGTATTTGATTGGCGGCCAGTGCGGTTGAAACAACACCAGCTGAATGTGTGCCCATGCAGGTGTTGCTGTCAACAGGCATGCTGCCGCATTCTGCACTAGCTGCAACTTCCGGATCAGGCTCAAGGGTAGCCCCGCATAGAGCGATTTACAGTAGTCCAGCCTGGAAGTAACCATTGCATGGATTACTGTAGCTACGTCCCAGGGAGTGAGATAAGGAACCAGTTGCCTGGTTAGCCAAAGATTATAAAAGGCTGATCTGGCAACTGAAGTGACCTGGGCCTCCATAATAAGTGAAAATTCCAGCATCACTCCAAGACTCCTTACCCTCAGTGCTGGCACCAATGGTACCCCACCAAAGACTGGGAGCCTGATTCCCGATCCTAACCCCCATGCCTCAGGTACAGGACCTCCATCTTTGTTGGATTCAACTTCAGCTGGCTCTGCTGCAACCATCCCGCCACAGCCCCTAACACCCTGTCCAAAAACAAGCCCATACCAATTCTGCTGCGTTAGGGCCTTACCTCTCTACTTTGACCAGCTTCATTTAATAATACTCCTCCCCTTGCGATATGAAGGAAGCAAAACCAGAAGAATCTCTGACTGCCAATTAAAGATAGTCCTAGAAAATTCCTGCTTAGCTACCTGTAGATCCCATACTGTAACCCTTAAGGGAGGGTGGGTGGGACAGCTCTGCCAGTAAAAAGGGTGGCTCAAATGGGGACAGTTTTAAATCACTCTCTAATTTGCCCACAGGCAGGGAAACACGAGGCTGCACAAACTGTCCTCAAAAACGGGGTGTGACCAAATAATGGTTGCCACTAGGGATGGGCATGAACCGCATTTTTGTGGTTTGGTTCAGTTTGTGTCTGAACCATGAACTGAACCACGAACCTATATAAACTAGGAGGCTGGTTCACAAACCAACCTGGTTTATGAGCCATTTAAAATTTAAACCCCTGCTTTCAGCTCCCCATTGCTTTATGTAGGGAGCAAGAAGCAGTAGTTTAGATGGCTCCCAGACATTTAAACCAAACAGCTGTGTGGCAGGAAGCTGTTTTTTGTGAAGAGCAGAAATCAAGCATTTAAACCCCCGCTTTCTGCTCTTCATGAACCACAATTAACTGCATCAAAATTCATGAAAGTTTATAGCAGTTCTTCAGTATGTGAACATTTCTCGCAAATGACAAACTGGCCAAAATTTGTGAAGAACGTTAGTTTGTCAGCCGGTTCAGGCCCATCCCTAGTTGCTACCCAAAAGGTGGGAACAAACCCTCACTGTGGCTGGATTGTACCCCCTCTCCCCATTTAAATGTAGCTATGTTTTTCTATTTTGGTGCTCATGTTACTGGTCAGTATCTATCAATGTAATATTAATATTTTTCCTTCTAATTTCATATTAGTCTGTTTATAGTCAACAAACCCAGCAAGAGAGTTCTGTGTGCAGAAACAAAGCTTCTACATTTGTACTTGGGGATGATAAACATGTGAATCTGGATGTGCCAAATCTAGACAAATGCATCTTTTTATGTAGCTCTGAGGCCACATCTCCATTCTGGGCCATTAGCCGGGATGTAGCCAGAATGGGACCAATGGGTGCCCCATTTACTCAAAGCATTGGTTGGTCCCTTCTAATAATTTTTTTTAAAAATATGCTTTTTTACTTGTGCAACATAATCTTTCATTAAAAGTCACTATCTATCCAGCATAAGTAACCCCAAAAATCTTTCTTTAGTGACCATAATAGAGCATGGCAAAATTTCTAAGAGGGAAGGGGTAAATTGAGAAGTTTCTTTTTTATGAAAGAAAGGTGTCCATTATAACAGTGTTAAAAAACTTCCCAAACTAAA